CGATAATACAGTGCTCAAATTCAACAATAAGGAAAAAAACAAAAAAAAAGGATGAAGTTGAGAGTTGATCCACTGTCTTTGGTTTCTTAAGGCAATAATATAACAGTAATTTCCTGTCAGGATCCCGGCATTTTTCGTGGAATTGCCGGGATCTCGCGGGATCCCGCACAGGATCCAGGCGGGAAATTGCCGGGATGAAAGACATGGGCGCTTATCATATTCGAATTTCGTGTGGTTAAATATACTAATGATACCGATGAAGATCGGAGTTTGTCGATATAGTCGATTCTCAGTTTTTAGACAACTTCCAAATCCCAATTTTGTCAAATATTATTTTATTATGAAGTTGATCATCCTTACAAATAGGTTTGAGGTATTTTCGTTTCATGACAGAAAACAAAGAGAGAATTAATATATATTATTGAATAAAATAAAATAAAATAAGCAAATAATAAATATTCAATCTTAGATAATATTAAAAACGATATGATTTTAGTGAAATCATGGATGAACTTTCTCAAAAGGAAAAGATGTCTCATATTTTGAGAATAAGAAATATTTCATAGGTACACAGTTTATTTTGAATAATAAGTTTTTTTTTTAAAGCTATTTATGAAAGATCAATATATTATGCATATAGTACACGCATCCTTAATATATGCGTCTGTGACTAATGAGGGAACCGATCCAACTGATAAACGCCGTTTGAATTCATATTTTACCCATAGATAGGGCTCATAATGTAGATAAAAACTCTAAAATGGTTCGTGCCCTTATGCATTTCTTCTCGAGTTATGATCATTTTACTGAATTTTTAGCCTACTATAGGATCTTATAAAGAAAATCTCAACTAGGAATTTCCACCTGAAAATTTTCCCAATAATAGACTTAATGGTCCTTATTATAGCCTGAAAGTTTTAGCTTAAACGCATAGTTCTCTTCCGAGATAAGTACATCTGCAAAAACCACTACTTTCTCACAAAAGCTCCAAAACTAGTCCATTTTTGAGATATTCCATATCTTAAGAAAAACTCACCCGTTTTAGCTGAAACTTTCAGGGTATAATAAGGACCATTAGGTCTATTATCGAGAAAATTTTCAGCCGAAAATTCCTAGTTGAGGTGTTCTTTATAATATCCTATGCTGGATTGAAAATTCATGAAAATGACCGTAACTCGAGAAGAAATGCCTAAGAGCACGAACTATTCTTCTATCATTCTAGATACATTATTACTTCAACATTCCGTTTGCCTTTGATGTGGCAGTGGTAAAAACTATCGTTGGATGATATTGATGATAACATCAGAACAAATCTAACATGGATTGTAATATCTTGTTGAAGTTCTATATATTGAAGTCAAACACGTCTAGCCGCAATTTGATTTCGGACCATGTCTAGCCACATTCAAATGTGATCTTGTTTAAAAACGCGTCCCCATTGAAACACTTCTTGTACTCACATGCGTTAGATATTTCTTTTTTGATACAAAACGTATTTACATGTGTTGCCAAGAATAAAAGAAAAGGTTTTTTAGAACGACCGTCAAAAAAGAGGAACTTGCGTGTATTCAGGAAACGTTTTTAAGAAAAGAATTCTTTTTCAACCAGTTTTTTTATCAAACTTATCTCATAAATGGTTTCATTCAGAACTAATACAAAGCTAACATGATGGTCGCAAAATATTGTTCAGGTCGAACTTAAATATAAACAGGCACAAAAGTACCAAAAAAGCAAAAATAAACTACAGAAATTATTTTAAAAAATCAACCACGAGAGTGGGTCTTTTAAACTGTATTTTTCTTCTTTTATCCTAGAGAAATTGTTTGATTATTAACGGGAAAAGAGGTCCTATTATAAGAAGAACTCCTAATTTGTCAGGAACTTTATATAAACCCTTCTGTTTAAAACAACTTATGACTCTCACTGAAATAATCTTTTTTGGATCAAAACAGGAATTAGAAAATTGCCTGATATCTATAAATGCTTTCTTTAGTCAGGCATCTCGGTATAAACATCATCAATTTGACGTTCAAACAACTATCAGAGTTTACACCAAAAGTCTAGAAAAGCATGTCGAAACAGTGAATACGACAAGAATATGTGGTATTGATCACGTACTTATATTTTTCAAATAATTTGACTTTGGTACTTGGCAACGTAAAATATAGAAATATGTTTCTGCTTATATTTACATGAAAACAATATTTTGAATATACAGAAGCAATGTGAGACAGGCGCAGTTACTTAGGGCAGTCCAAAAGTAGTGACGGAGATTCGATAATTCCTTATAAAAAGCTTTAAGAAACTTTCTTTCTATGTAGTCTGATAGAGAAAAGAATGCTCTATTTTTCTATTCGATTTGATCATGCTTTTACTAATATCATATTAATAAAATTTCGATAAGATCTGTTTCGTTACCATATGTGCTGCTTGTATGATACTCATTTGAAAAAAATACGAGTGAGTATTTTTTGAATAACTTTTGATAGAAACAAGATAGAGAACAGCGGTTTTCACTTTTGGAAAGAGGAGATGAAGATGCATCGAATCATATATTCCAGGATTTCCTAATCTGTTTTTTTCGTAAGGTTTTGAATTGACCTTTTAAGAGCAAACCTATCTGAAAAGTTGTTTACAGTGAATTTTCAATGCTCAAGTATACATTCAAATCACTAATCGAAGATCTACAAAGTGCGGAAGACTGAGATGAATAATATGTATTCTAATCAAGCCTTTAATAAGATTTTCTAGCAAAATGTGTGAAGAAAGCTCAGTCTTGTGCTTTTTTTTCATAAAAAAACATTCTTCCGATAGTTAGAAAATTAAGTAAAAATATTTCAGAAATGAATATTAGAAAAATCTGTAATTCACGATTCGATGCATCTTCATTTCCTCTTTCCATCGTTGAAAACCGCTGTTCTCTATCTTGTTTCTATCAAAAGTTATTCAAAAAGTACTCACTAATATTCATGGAACCGTGACACATGTGAACAAAACAGATCTTATGGAAATTTTATTATTATGATATTATTGGAAGCATGATCATATAGCATAGAAAAATAGAGCACTCTTTTCTCTATCAGACTATATAGAAAGAAAGTTTCTTAAAGCTTTTTATAAGGAATTACCGAACCTTCGCCACTACTTTTGGACTGTCCTAATTATATCCAAACTCAAATGGTTTAGTGAGTTTAGGCAGTAGACTGAAACTCAAACCAACTTCGAAACGGTTTGAATTTGGTAAATTTTTAGTAAGTATCGAAGGAACTGATAGATATTGATATTGAAGTACCGAAATTATTCAATGTTCTTTATCGTTTTTTTTTCACTTATTCTAATACGAAGGATGTCGATTCTAACAGATACAAGAAGGAAATACTATTCGAACTTACTTCTGTTAACAGTGTTACAACAGCTTTGATATAGATATGTGCGACTGTATGTGTCTATGTCTATGAAGTGCGAATGATATTTATATATGTCAGAGCTTCATTTAGGATGGGACAACATAGAACGTAAATATTTTCATAAATGTCTCATGGGATAGGATCATTTTTCGCAATTTCTGTCTCTTTTCATCTCATGAGACAAACAGTCACTTATAGAAACATTTTTATAAGTAAAGATGTAACTATTTGTGTCTTATCGATTGTGTTCCTGTGTATTGCAATAGAGTTAGCGAAAATAAAGTTTTGTTCCATTCTATAAATGGTTATGCATTGTAGCGGTATGTGCGAGGTGTGAGTGTGAGAGAAGAGAATACCAACATCCACAACAAGAAGAGCGAAAAAAGAATATACATCGAAGGCAATATTATCCAATTTTATTGTCACATGTTATAACCAACAGCTTTTATGAAAACTTTATTATTATTATATTAGTTAAAGAATGATCAAATAGCAGAGAAACATACAGAATTGTTTTTGGTATAGTTACGTATAAAGAAAAAGTTTCCTGAAGCATTCTATACGAAAATAAAGTATCTCTGCCACTACTTGCAGATTTCTTTCAGTGGTATAATATTTTATATAATTAGCTAAACCGATAGATGTACCCTTGAATTTCATTTTTTCAAAAACTATTTGACGAATATAACATTCAATGGGACCGTTGTTTCTGTTCCATCTTATTCGACAGGAAGTTCTAGTGCATTTGTTTCTCTCAGTACCAAATAAGAAAACAAGAGAATAAAAGCTGTAATATCGAAATAACGACTAATTCAACATTATAGGATAAAAAAGAAACCAGTATGTGTGTACATGATATGAAAGAGAGAGAAAAGAAATGTGTTCCATTAGGATACTCTTCGGAAGGAAGAGAAGAAAGCGTAAAAAAGAAAACCGATCCGTACATTCTTGTATTGGAAAGAGAACATTGCACAGCTAAATCTGTATCTTTTCTCAGATGCCATGGAAGATAAGAAAAGAGAAGAAAATCAACAAAAAATAATGAATTTATATAAGACACAACAGTAATAACTGATGAGATATAAATGGTGATTCAAAAGTCATTTTTGCGAAGGAAAACAATCTGAATATGTTTGCTATATTTTCATCAAGTGGGCTATTTTTACCACTAATAACAGAGTGTTGATAGGTCATATTCATAAGAAAAACATTGACAAAGATTGCTTTGAATTATCATCGTTGTTAGGTAGTAGCGCTATCTGTAAGCCACTACCTTTCCCTTGTTCTATTGGTCTTGTATATATAGATACATATATATACATACATTGTTATGGAAAAGGATTAGAATAAAGATCTATCTAGTAAGAGTTAGTCTTGATCCACAGACTAACAATTGGTGCCGTGATCCATGTCGATAATTATCAGTCGATTATGATAAGTGTTATTTTTCTCCTGACCGATTTATTCTGTCCCGTTCTGATTGTACCTTGGTGATTTGTTGATTTATTTGGTGATTGTGAAATTAAACCCTCTCCTCATCCTCTAATTGCTGCTCATTACATTGTTTGTTGTCCAGTATTTTTTTTCTCTATTATGGAAGAACTGATTCGATCACTTATTAAATTTGATGGTATTCTAAATCAAGATGTTATTCAATGGCTAGCATATATTGAAGAAGTATTTGATCGAATACAACTACAAGCATCAAATAAGTATGTTGCTGTACAATACTTTCTAACTAATGGTGCTGCTACATGGTTTAGGTATAGTAAATCAAATATTCTTGATTGCTTCACATTTAAACGTCAAATTAGTGATGCTTTTCCATCACCGTCCTCATTTTTCTCATCGCATCTTCTTGATCGACATCAATTAACAGCTAGAAAAGAACCACAAAAACTTGAGCAAGAACTCGATATATTACATGTACCTGCTTCAAGTCCAACAATGTCACAGAAGGAATTAGATAATGATAATACCTCATTAGATTCAGTTAATGATAGTCGAATTATATCAGTCAAAGATTTAGAAGATAAATGTCTACGTGAACGTGAACAAGGCCATTATTCACCCACATTAGTTAATATTACTGATCCTGATCCGAAAATTAAATATCAAGGTGCAGATATAGCAAATGATGATGATTAATTAGAACGTCAAGGTGAATCTGTTATTAAATATGATCTTGTTACAACTGATGTCGAAGATACTTTTGAAGGTTTTACTCGAACTATGGATAGCTTAACAACGGATGATTCATTAATTAATACTTTTCTACCACAAGATATTCAATATTTATGGTCTGATAAATATAAACCACGTCCATCTCAAATTCTTAATAATCCACCAACAACAACTATTTAAGGTTTTCCTGTTTCTGAAGATTATCGAGATCTTTCAATTCTACAATTTCAAGTTGGATCCACATACGAAAATGTTGCATTTAATATTGTTAGTAACCCAGGTCGAACTTACCCTCCCGGATCCTATCGGATCCGTGATTATTCGACACTTTCCGACAGTCGGAAACCTTCATTGTCCGTTAATTTCCGACGTCGGACATCGTCAGATTCTGTCGGATTCCGGCGACAGGATCCGACGAGATCCGATAGTCAGAAATTGTCGGATTCGATGAAATCCGATCATATGAAAGCATCTAATTTTGCCTATTCTAATTTTTTATTTTTGGATTGTTTCCAATGATAAATCAAACAGTAAGTATATATTTATTTAAATAATTTATATTTCTTTGATTTTTAGATTATTTTCAACGATAAATCAAGAAAAGTATTTATTTATTAAAATAATTTTTATTTTTTATTTTAGATTGTTTCCAAGGATACATCAAAAAGTAGGTATTAATGTATTTAAATAATTTTTGTTTTTTATTTTACATTATTTACAACGTTAAATCGAACAGGATGGCACTGACTAGTCTGATTGGATGGCTGAATTTCTATTTTATCATACTGTTGCTATAATGTATCAGGTAACTATGATTTTTTTATCAGTTATAGTACTTCTATGGCACCATGCGAGTACTATAACTGGTAAAAAAAATCATAGGTACCTGACACATTATAGCGACAGTATGATAAAACAGGAATTCAGCCATCCAATCAGACTAATCAGCTCAATATATATTAAGTATTGAAAAATAAAAAGCTCATGAGTGCAGCATGGGTGCTGCACGTAATATCTGGTTTATCTATAGAAATCTAGTAGGAACCCGTCGGATCCGACAACTTCCGACAGGATTCCGCTACCAAGGATTTCGACAACTTCCGACAGGGATCCTGTCGAAAGTTGTCGGATTCCCGTCGATATTTATTGGATTAAGCCAGATTGCCGACAGGATCCGACGGAATCCGGGACCCAGAATACTCGTCTTGGGAAAGAGTGGGATTATTCATATAACTATGCATTCCGATATTTTTCTCACAATTAAATGATTCAGTTAAGGTTTTCTTTCCGTAAATGGAAATATCGTCGATTAACTTCTGTTGGGTTTGCTTTATTGTTTCCATTTTTTTGAAACTGTCCTATCATACGTTTTTTTCTTCTAACTATTTTGTTATACGTTAAAGTTTGATTTTTATTTCCTCGGTATTTTGCTATTTTTTGTTATTTTGTTCTGTATTACTATGTTATTGTGAACAGATGAAGCAGTTCACTGCTAAAGTGTGGAAGTGTTAGGTAGTGGCGCTATCTGTAAGCCACTACCTTCCCCTTGTGGGGTGTGGGTATGGGTGTGGGTGTGCCAAGGGGGAAAAAGCAGATTTTGGCACCTGAAATCTCTAGAAATCTTTGGAAATCTTTGGAAATCTTTAGAAATCTTTAGAAGTCTCTAGAAATCTTTAGAAATCTTTGGAAATCTTTAGAAATCTTTGGAACCCTAAAATGAGATATATTCCAACAAGAATACAGTAGTGAACTATCAGGCGGAGTGTGGGTGTGCGGTGTGGACGTCGATGTTGCTATTTACTTCATCCACACCCACTCCTACACCCACACACACACCCACACCCCATATCCACACCCAATACAAATTAATCTTTATTTATAATGTCTATTTTCATATGATTCTATATGTGATTTTTATTATCTTTTATCATATTTATATTAAAAATATTTTTTGAAAAATATTTCGACAAAAAGAAAGTCATTTATTAATTGAAATTTAATTAAAATTTTTCTTCGTTGTTCAAGAAAAAAAACAATAGATTATCCAACATGAATCAAATATCGATTACTTAATGGAACATATAAAATAATATCTGGTTGTACATTATAGAAAACTATTTGATCAATTTTCGAATATCTTTAGCAATGACATCATTTTATCATAGCAAATAAACAAAAAAATAAATTATTAGAATTATATTCAAATTTATTTAAACCAAATAAACGATCATTTTCTTATATAATTTAATGATCTTGACTGTCTTTTTTTTATTTAAAAAACAAGTTATATACATATATAAGATTTTTACCGATATGATTTACATCAAATAGTTAAATTACTATGGGATATACCAATATTTTATTTCTCTATTCAAATATGAAGGCATTTTGGAGAATAACATTATCGATAAATATAAATAAATTAGAGAGATATGTTTAAACAATTATTCTTTATTATTATTTTCTATTGATTTATTAAAACATTTAGATAAACTAATTGATTATGTTGAACGTATATAATTTATTGTTATTGATAATTAATTAAGAAGACAATTTAAAAAAATATAGATTTCATTTTTCAGTTTCAATTAATCCATTAAATCAATTTCATCTTGAAAATGAATAAACAATAAATAATTTAACAAAACAATTGCAAAACAATAGTAGAAACAAAATGAAAAAATCAATTAAATTTTATCTTGTGTTTTCTTCTACTATGGATTCGTCGTATAACAATATTTATATTAAATGTCCTTCGATTGTTTTTTGACTATTGATTTTCAAATAAATCTATTCGATTTTATTAAAATATATCACTGATTAATATTTACAAACATGTTCAATATTAAAAACACAGATTCAGAATCTTCCACTACAACGAAAAATTTTCTCGACTATAAAACTCAATTATAGATCTTTTTTGAAAATTCTAAGATTTTTCTTTGAAAAGAGAAAGCAAGGAGCATCCACACCCGAAATGGGGAATTTTATTTTCTATGCAAATTTCGACTTTCCTATTTTAAATAAGTTTTTCATATTACGGCAAAGTCAGCAACATGAACATCTATTCAATTTTATCAATGCGAAGTATCAAAAAAGCACAAAAAAAAACTTATAAAAAATTTTTAGGAACTAATCTATTGAATTCTAAAAAAAGGTTACAATATTTGACACTAAGTTTTGGATCTTTGGCTGTGACTTTGAAACTTCTACAAAAGAATAATTGAGAGGGAAAATTCCGAAATAGAAAATGCTGAAGCATCGAAAGAAAAACTTGTCTATTAACAAATCTGAGTTGTTGTTTTTTTCTCATTTAAAATAGTCTAAAATATTCAACTGTTCAAGTGAATGCTTGCACCATTTTATTCAGAATTTAATTGAGCATTTGATGGCACGAGAATCAGCTGTGTATACGACGAGTCTGACTTTTGATAAGAGAATATTTCATAATGCATTCATCAATACTCTTAGATGTTACTTTTCAACTTTATTCTTCTCAACTAAACACTTAGAAAGATGATAAACTTAAGACCACCACATACAACAAATAATTCTTTAACTTTTACCATTTGTTTTAATGAACACACGCTGTGACACATATTGATTTTTATCTGTAGTTAAATAGAAATTCATAGTTTGACAATTGAATAGGTTTTAATCTTATGAAGTTGACATTTGTATGAATACTTTATCTGAAAAAACAGTTAGTAGGTTTGTAGAGAATTTGAATTAGGCATGCACCAAAACCAATACTAGTTTTGAATTTTCGTTTTGATATAGTTTTGGTATCGACGGTTTTGGTTTTGATATGGTTTTGGTCTTGGTTTCGGTTTTGGGTATTCTCATGGGATCTCAACGATATCTAGCAAAGTAATCACCGATTTTTATGAAATTTTGAGCGTTTGTAGAGCTTTTAGTTCCAAACATTTTGGCAAAAACGAAATTTTAAAAAGCTTTTATTTTGACGAAGATATACTCAAAATACTTTAAGCAGTAAAAAACGAAAAACGCTCAGAAAAGGGTTTTCAGCATAAGTTTGACGAATTATTTTTGATAGTTTAGTTCACTAAAACAACACCAAAAATATAACCCAAGACCGTATTCAGATTCTTCGTGAGAGGGCGTATCGGATCATACTAAACTGAAACTAAATTTAAAAAAAAACGATTCCAATATGTGACCTTCACTGCTCACCGACCACTGGGTAATACAGTGCTATCTTGCGTCCACAACTATCCCAAAAAGCTGAAAGCGATTTGTCAAAATTTAGTTTCAGTTTAGTATGATCCGATACGCCGTCTCACGAAGAATCTGAATATGGTATTGGGTTTTGGTTTTGGTGTTGTTTTAGTGAACTAAACTATCAAAAATAATTCGTCAAAATTATGCAGAAAACCCTTTTCTGAGCGTTTTTCGTTTTTTACTGCTTAAAGTATTTTGAGTATATCTCCGTCAAAATAAAAGCTTTTTAAAATTTTTTTTTGTCAAAATTCTTGGAATTAAAAGCTCTACAAACGCTCAAAATTTCATAAAAATCGGTGATTACTTTGCTAGATATCCTTGAGATCCCATGGAAATATACAAAACCAAAACCAAGACCAAAACCATGTCAAAACCAAAACTGTCGATACCAAAACTATATCAAAACCGAAACCTCAAAACTCAAAATTCAAAACCAGTATTGGTTTTGGTGCATGCCTACCCCCGATGCGAAAACTAAAAACATTGTGTATCAATCTGCTTTACAATAAAAATTGTTTTTCAATGCAGATAGCCTTTTTTTAAATCTTCTACTCTGTCAAGGATACAATATCAAATTTCCTGGGCAACACCGGGTACCTCCGCTGGTAATCTATAAAGACGGTAGATCAGTCGTCAATATAGAATTTTTCAAATTATTTATTTCAATTTTAGAAAAAAGTACAAATCATATGAAATTAAAGTAAAGGAAACTTAAAATTTTATGAATAATTTAACCTTGTTTTTCTTTTTAAATGTCAAGAAAAAATGTAATTAGGAAATTTTATAATTTATTATCTGATATATCTATAGAAAATAATTATCAGTTATTGACTTTCTTTTCTCATTTATAAAAGATTTTAAAATTGACTAAATCGAAAAATTTTTTCATAATTTTCATTTTGATATGCGGATTTAAGATAAGTTAATTGATCAATTCC